ATATATATATATATATATATATATATATATATATATATATACATATACTGTATCTATGTTGTGTTTGTTACAAATGCACTTTTTAAACTGAGTTAACTTTACAGATGAACAGCATGAATATCTAAATAACAAAAGTTAACCATTGACCCGGAGAGGTTTGTATTAATTCTGTAGCTGGTTCTCCTCAGGCACAACAATGAGAAGACCTTTCTGATCTGGATTAATGAGGAAGATCACACCAGAGTCATCTCCATGGAGAAGGGTGGCAACATGAAGAGAGTGTTCGAGAGATTCTGTAACGGTCTCAAACAGGTATCTTCAGTCTGTGCTGCAGGAATACAAGGGTGTGTGTGTGTGTGTGTGTGTGTGTGGGGGGGGGGGGGGGTAGTTATTTTCATTGTGAAACAAAAGGGTTTAGGTATCCAGACATAAAACAAAGTATTAGTTTTTTGCTAGGCTATAAAATTATTCATATCTAACTGCTGGTGTACAAAAGGCCAAAATGAAAGAGCTGTGTGAGAAAACTATGATCCAGTAGAACCTCCTGAGCAGTAATAACTCTCACTCTGGTTTTCTGTCTGACTTCATCAGTCTCAGGTCATGGAGGAAGGAAATGGATCATCTCACCTGAAAAAATATGTATTGCATATAATGCACATTGTTAGGTTTTTTATTTATTTAATATATGAATATGTTGTTTCCTTGAAAATTTTTCATTCATTCAACCCTTATTTATGCAGTTTATTCTCAGTGAGCCTCGAGGACTCATTTACAAGAGAGACCTGATTTCAATTAACAGTGATGATAACAGTGGACAATCATAAAAGAAAGCTTATACATTGAAAAAATTAATAAATGGAAGAAAATCCTTAAAAAAAAAAAAAAAAAAACAGCTAAATCGATGTAGAAAACTAAAAACAGGAACATGTCTGCGTTGGTTTTTGCCAGGAACTTAACAAATGTTAAGAAGCCATTTATAGAGGTCAAGGTCGAGAGCTTCAGGTCTTTTTGTAAGGTATTCCAGGAAACAGGAGCGGAGTAGGAGAAGGCCCTTTTGTCTAGTTCAGTCCTCACATAGGGAACACTGCAGGTAATAATGTCCTGAGAGCGCACGCTGTAGCTGCACTCACGCAAAGACATATAGAAGATGTAAGGCAACAGTGATTCCAGTCAACCAGTTTATTAGTGAGTGCAGCATGACAGACAGCGTACAGCATCTGCAGGGTGCTTGTAGGAGCGTTCATGTAAATAATGTCACCGTAACCAATGGAGGGAAGGATAGTTGCAGTTACAAGGTGTTTCCTAGCATTCAGAGTTAAACAGGATCTGTTTCTGAAAAAGAAACCCAGTTTAACTTTCAGTTTCCTTACCAAGTTTTCCACGTGGAGCTTAAGAGAAAAAGGAATCCGCCAAGATACCCAAATATTTATAGGAATCAACAAACTCAATAGGAACATCATTCAAAGATAAACTCTTCAATTTTTTTAAATTAATTAATTAAAAAAATAACAGGTCTCTCTTGTGAATGAGTCCTCGAGGCTCAATGGGAACTAACCTGTATAAATAAAGGTTGAATGACAAAAATCAGAAGAACTGCTGGGACCGACTTCCTGTTTGAAAACAACATCCCTCTGGTTTTATCCGCGTTCAGCACCAGTTTGAGACCGAACAAATCTGACTGGATGATGCTGAATGCAGACTGTAAAAGATGGAAAACTTTAGCTGTTTTAGCTCGACAGTATTTAAGTATTTGCTTGTTTTGTACAACAGGTGGAACATCTGATCCAGGAGAGAGGCTGGGAGTTCATGTGGAACGAACGGCTGGGCTACATCCTCACGTGTCCCTCCAACCTGGGCACTGGACTCAGGGCAGGCGTGCACGTGCGCCTGCCGAAACTCAGCAAGGTGACACACTTTCATGGATAGAGTTTTGAATGCAAATGGCTGTTTTTTTGTTTTTTTTAGCATCCGTTTTCCAGACTCGTGAGAATATTAAGGAGAATAAAATGAGAATAAAGCAGTGATTCATGCGTTTAAACTCACTTCAGGTTTGTCTGATGTAATTTTACTGTACATATGGCTCCTGAGCAAAAATATTGGTGGGGTCAGACATTAATTTCCAGAAAATTTTCCCAAATTGTGATATGTTGCTTTATGGAAGCCCATTTCCGCCACAAATGAAAAAATAAAAGCCCAATAGGAAGTCATAATTTCGACTTGTAAAGTCATAATTTTGACTTTTATGGTCATAATTACGAGAATAAAAGTCATACTTTGAGTATTAAAATCATAATCTACCTTTCATTTTATATTTAATATTTTGTTGTTGTTACATATGTTGATTATGTTGATTGTTATGTATTTATAAAATGAATAAATAAATAAATAAAATAAATAAATAATTATGAGAATAAAAGTAATAATTTTGAGTTTTAAAGTCACAATTATGAGAATAAAAGTCATAATTATGAGTTTAAAACTCAATTATGACTTCCTGTTGGGCTTTTGCTTCATAGCAGAAATGGGCTTCGATACTAAATGCTATATTACATACCTTTACTTAAAAGAATTGATGTTTGAAGGCAGAGGGACATGCACTGAATGAATGAATCCATGTGCTATGCAGAAAAACTGCCGGTGTCTGACAGGAAGTTGCAGTCATGGTGTTCGTTCGGCAAGGGACGAACTTCAAAATTAAATTAGATGGGTGTCTTCCTGCCTGGCTGTGGCTGCAGTCTGGTGCTTGGCTGGGGTTCTGGGCTGTGGGGGGGGGGGGGGGGGGGGGGGGGGGGGGGCGGGCTTTTGCTCGGATGGCTCTGCACTGCTGGCCCGGGGGTGTCTGGGCGTGTTAGGCATGTGCTCTCCCTTGCATGGGGTGCTCTCATTGTGGGTGTTGCTGTGGTGGACTGGTCGGTCCTTTTGTGGGGGTGCGCTCTCGGTCATCGTGGTGCGCTGTCTGCGGCTGTTCGGGCACTCCTGGCTGATTGTCGCTGCTGGAGTTTGGTGGCTTCTTTGGTCGGGGGGCTGGGTGTTGAGCTGGAGATCGGGTTGGGGGTCTGGACGATCTCAGGGGGGCTTGGGTCGCTGGCCCGGGTTCTGGTCAGGCCTCAGGGCTATGTGCCGGTCCGTGGCCTGGGTCCCTGGTGGTGCGGCTGCCTCCTGCTCCTAGATGGATGCACTGGAGCCTCCCTCCCCTGGTGGATCTCGGAGAATGGTGGTGCCTGTTGGGGTCAGTGGGGGAGCTGGCCCCCTGGGAGGGCATTGCCACCTCAGTTGTTCCTCCCCATCCCGACGTCTTCCTCCACCCACTCCATCACACCACCACTCAAGCAGGGCCTTGGGGTTCAGGTGCACTACTGAGCTGCGGGGAGGATCCTCCATCTCCGTGGTTCGTGGAGACCTGGACTCCAATTTTATTAAACAACCTAGACACTCGCATATAACATTCTCACGACACATGCATATATAGGGTCTGGAGTGGGCACATGGTGGCATATAGGGGGTGGGATGTGTAATCATTCTCACGTCCGGGACCGGTGCCCACTCTCATATGTAGCATGGAGACATTTAGGGTTCTGGGCAAGGGTTGGGGGGGGGCGAACGGGCACTGCCTGCCACTGCCTGGAGGTCGGCTGTGGTTGTGTGTGTGTGTGGTCGTTGGTAGTGCGTGGCGGCGGTCGGGGGCGTGGCTTCACTTTGACGGAGTGCTGGCTGGTCGGCCTGATGTGACATTCACGGTGCGGGATGATGTGTGTGTGTGTGTGGGGGGGGGGGGGGCATGGGTGGCATGCCGGGGCTTCTCCGGGCCTGTGGTGTGGGGCTTTAGGGATGCAATGGTGTGCTGGGCCGGCCTTCCTCGGCTGCTGCTCCCTGCTGCTCTGGCCCCGGCCTGGGGCCGACTTGCGGTCACTGTTGGGCAGGTGGGGCACAAGGACAGTCCGACAGAGGCTCCGTCTGGCTGTCTCTGTGTGCCTGTTCGTCTCAGGTTGGGTTTTAGGTGGTCCCCTCTCTTGGACCAGTTTTGGCCCCCCATTTGGTGGGTCGTGCTCCCTTCCGGTGGTGGGCCCCCCTGCCGCCGGTGCATTGGCGGCTCTCAGCAGCTGGGGCTGGGTGGTGGGGTGTGTGCGGGCCCGCCCTGGTGGCTGCCTGCGGGGGCCTGGGTGCCCTGGCTCTGTCGGGCCTCTGTTGGGGGGTGGTATGACCTCGGGGCTTGGTGTCCATGGCCGGATCCACTCTGGAGGGGCGGGTTGCCGGCGGGGCGTGTGGATTCGTCGCTGCAGCCTCCTGGGGGTTTCTGCCTTGTGGTTGCTGGGGATCGCCCGGGGCTTCCCTTTGCTTCTCTCTCTGGGGGGTGCGGGTGTCCCTGTTGGGGGACTACCAGAGTTCCGGGCTTGGGGGCCGCTGTGTGTCTGTGGTTCCGGTCTTCCCTGTGTTACCTTCTGTCCTGTGGGGACGGGTTTATAGGTCCCCACATCCACTTTTAAACATTTTTATGGAGAAACCTTATAGTGACAACATGCTCACACAGGTGTTTAGATTCAGGTGTTTATCAGATACACACTCAGTTGGGTTGTGGAGGCCACTAAATATATCTTGTATTACCATGTACTGTATAAAATACTTTCTAATGATATAAGTATCATTATATATGTTGTTTGTTGTTGTGGTTTCTCTGTTTTGTCTTGTTTTTTCTCTTTCTGCAGGTCTACAGGCAGACTTCAATGATGTTGATTTGTGTTCTCTTCATCCCTCTCTCTCTCCTCTATTCCTATCTCCTTCTTTACATTTTGACTCTTCTCTCACTTTTCTGCTTTGTTTTCCGTCCCCATGTCCATTACATCTGAAACAAGCCCAAAGCATATTCTAATAAATTTAATTTATATATCAAGCAGAGCATTAAGGTCAGCCATAATACTCTGCTTGTGAAAGTAAATCTGTTGGGCATCACTTTGACACTCAGACAATAATTCTAAGTGTCACAATGCTGGACAGGACAAGGGAAAAAATAAATAAATAATAAAATGAAATTAGAAAAGTCAAAATTGTGTCTTTTATTCTTGTAATTATGACTTTAAAAGTCAAAATTATGATTTTAAAAGTCAAAATTATGATTTTATTCCCATAATTATGACTTTAAAACTCAAAATTATGACTTCCTGTTGGGCTTTTATTTTTTCTTTCATGACGGAAATGGGCTTCCATATTGCTTAGTATTTTTGTGTGTGTGTGCATCTATAAAGTCTTTGCCTTTGTCTGCATTTGTAAATTTGGAGTCAATCTGATTCCAGACAGATTACGCAGCTTAACAAACCTAAATGCTTCTATAAATCAGTTAATTTTATAAATATTAAGCTACAATTTGATGTGGTTGCAGCTGAGCGTGGTTACCAACACATAATCTGAGCACTCAGAGATCGTGTGAACTATTTTCAGCAGTTATTTTTAGGTTTGACTAAATTGGCTATAACTGTCTTTTCTCAACGTATGTTGATTTTAGTTTAAAACCAAAAAAGCAGCAAATATGCTTTCCTTGATCAAATATGTTTTTCTGATTCTAGTGTGTCCCAAATTGCTTTGCAGGACCCACGTTTTTCTAAAATCCTGGACAACCTGCGGCTGCAGAAGCGAGGCACAGGTGGAGTCGACACGGCTGCCACCGGAGACACCTTTGACATTTCCAACCTCGACCGTTTGGGTAAATCTGAGGTGAGACTCCATCTTTCTTTTCAGGTTTGTGTTGAGCCCAGTCAGAGCTGGCGCTTTGCAGCAGAGTGACCTTTGGTGTCTCCGTTCAGGTGGAGCTCGTCCAGCTGGTGGTGGATGGGGTCAACTACCTGATCGAGTGTGAGAAGAAGCTGGAGAAGGGTCAAGACATCAAAGTCCCAGCTCCCATTGTTCAGTTTAGGAAGTGAGCACTTCACCTGCTCCCAGACTGAGCCTGATGACAAGAACAGAGCAAGGCCTCAGCGTGACGACACAGGAAGCTGCTGGCTCTCTCAAAGGTTGCAAATCTTCAGGGTGAAATGATCTCAGACATGACCTGCAGAAAGTTCTACCTCAAGTTAAATGTAACCCTGACCTTAATAAACCATTTCAAAATATTTCATCTGATCTCCTTCACTTTGTATTACTTTGTAAGTACTTGGACAGAGGACCCAACTTTTTTTTTTTTTTTTTTAGTTTATTGAATGTATACTGTTTCAGTTTGTATCTAAATAAAGAGTGTGAATGTTAGGAATACTGTATCAACTTTCCAAAACAACAAACGGGTATTCCACAAGGTTCCAGTTTTGGACCACCACTTTTTTTTTTTCTTCTAAAAAAAAACAAACAAAACAAAAACAAAACAAAACAAAAAAAAATCTAATAAATCAACTAAAAGTTGTAAGATCAGTCCCAAATGTATTCAGGTGAGCTTAAAAAATGTGACCCATGCTGGCAAATCAAGACAGAATGATCACATGCTGCACTGAAAATAAACACAAACATAGATTCTTGTTAATTGAGATTTGTGTAAAAATTAGTCCATAAAGACACCATTTAGCAATCTGGGCAATCAAAATAGCAGATAATCTTTGTAATCTATGTTTAAATTGGAGTTTTCTGACTGGTATGTACACTAGAGGCCACCGTAGTCTGCCTTCAGGCCCAGGCCTCTCTTGCAAAAGAGATCTGTGAACTCAATGGGATTTGCATGGTTAAATAAAAGTTAATAAATAAATAATACTAATAATACTGTCTAACCTTTCCTTTAAAATTGATCCATGTTCTCTGCCAGCTGTTGAAGTACTGGATGATCCCTTTATTTAATGTTTGGCACATTGTCAAGCAGGAGCATATCCTTTTATAACCCTAGCTTGATGTCCAATCTGCCAAGTTTCAACAAACGTTTCATTTCAACATGGTGAAATAGAAAATAACTCAATAGTGCAAACTTCCTCATTGTGACTCATTTTGCCAGCACAGGTCACAAGTGTGTGTAACTGGTCTTAATTTCTAATTATACAATAAAACGCTGAATGTGCTTAACAATCAGACAGAAAGTTGGTAAAGTTTTCAATGTTATTAAAATAACCACTCATTCTAAATTCAAGGCTCATAATTAAGTTAATGTCAAAAACAGTTTAAACCTATTTTGTGTTAATTTCATAAAATTATGTAAAAACTGCCCAGTTTTACTTGTATGTTTTCATCCGGTCCCAACTTTCCTACTGCTGAGATGTTTGGGGCCGATCTGCTTTAAAACCTGTCATCTTGTTTTACAAATAAGTGGCATCTGAAAATCCAAATGTGAATTAAAGGTTACTTTAAAGGTTTTATGCATTTTTAATTTTACAAAACTGACTTTTAAACATCTTAACAGCCTTGTTCCTGAAAAGAGAAACTAATTTTAAAGCCAGCAGTAAAGGAGCTCCAACAGGAGGTACAAACTTTAGTTTGCAAGCATCAATAATCCTTACCCAACACTAGGACCAGGTTTGCAACGCAGCCATTGGCTGAACAACCTGAGCACTAAGCTACGCTAACGGTTTCCTTGTTTTCTGGCAAACTGAATAATGTACAGTAAGTATTTTTACTACTACTCCAGAACTACAGTTGAAACCAGATATTTACATACAGCAAAGGTTAAAGGTGGGCCTATGATCGGAAGGTCGCCGGGTCGATTCCCCAGATTGACGGTATCAAAGGTGGGTGGGAAAGGTGAAACACCCACACCTGCCTCCACCTCATTTTCCCCACTCTGGACCCTTGAGCAAGGCCCTTAACCTCCACCATCTACTCCCCCAGGTGCCCTAGATGGCAGCTCTCTGCTCCACAGAGGGCTGTGGTAGCTCGGTGGTCTGCTGCGTCAGGAGGGGCATCCGGCGTAAAAACAACTGCCAAGTCTTCGTGTGGAAGGGAGCAGCCGAAAGAAGACGACGTCGAGTTAAAAGAAACATTTTTACTGTCTGACGAGAAATCAAAGTACTTCCTGTTTCAGGTCTGTTATGATTCCTAAAATTATTTCCATTTGTTAAATACTTTAAAAAAAATGTAACACACCCAAGATTATTTTTCCTTAGAACTCTTTGGGAAAGCCCAGATGATGATGATGTCATGGCTTTGGAAGCTTTAGATTGTTTAGTAGAAAACATCTGGACACACCCGTGAACTGCTTCTTTGTGTAAAATCAAGGGACAATCTACAGCAATCAGCCAAGAACGCCCTGCCGCTCGGGAAGGAGACGGGTCCGTGTTCCTGAGATCATCAACCTGAAAACTGAAGAGCTCATGAAGATGCAGCTTGTAGGCAATGTCAACTTACAACGTTGAAGAAAGTAATTTACTTTCCTGATTAACTGAAAGGTTTAGTTTAAGGTTAAACAATGAAAAAAAAAAAAGGTTATAAGTTGTGTATGGTAACATCTGGTTTCATCTGAAAACTGTTTTCAAATAAAATCACAAACCGTTGATAAACCGTATCCTTTTCTACATGCACATGAAGCTTACAGCTCTTCTGACAGTTTCCACTGTGAGGCCGACTGAGGTGGAACGTTTTTTTATTATTTAGAACAAATCTTTTCTTAAAACCACAAACTAATGATTTAAATTGAACATTGTATTTTCAATCACTTCTGTTTACATGTGGGTTTATCAGTAACAAAGTGTATTGAAACCATTTCACAGAATTTGGTGCTTCAAAAGAAAATGTGAAAAGATAAACAGCATTAGATGCTCTTACCTGCAACTATAAAAACCTGTAAACAGAACAGCATCAGCTAATGATTAAACCGAGAGAACATTCAACATTTAGTTCATCTGAAAGCACTTTTATTGTCCAGAATGCCACCTCTGATAATTTTCTTATTTTTCCTAAAAAGAAATCAGTAGAAAGAAGTGGAAAAACAACCAAAAGGTGACACCTAGAGGCCAAACCTGAACACTCCCAACAAGTCCTGATTGTTGTTTTCTTTTGGCAAAGTGAAACAGAAACACAAACCTCTGTTAAACATTGATTGAAGAGTACTAAACATTGCATGTACACAAGAACAGGGCCTTTCTGTGAATCGGGGATAAGAACGGGGCCTTTATAACCAGGAAACAGACAGGAGGCTGACAGGGCATGTCAAACATGTGTCGTCAGTCTATGGGACGCTTTTCACTGTGTTTCTTAGTGAACTCCTCGGCGTTCTTCATAAATTTTAGTCGGTCTTTGGTGTATTCCTCTGCCAGGTCCGCCCTCAGCGGGTGGTCTGGCTGAGGAGAACTTACCAGAGCAATGAGACACTGAATCACTGCGGGAGAGGAGAAACCAAACAAGGGCTTAGACACAGCGTTCGAAGCAGTCCACAGTAAAGAGCAGCTTCAGCTCGCTCACCTTGGGAAGTTCTAGTGGCTGGCTTCCAGTTCTCCACACTGATGATGGGCAGGCACACCTGGCCCTTCTCGTCGATGTTGGGATGGTAGATCTTTGTCTTGAAGGTGATCTTTGGGGGCTTGAAGGGGTACTCTGCAGGGAAGACGATCTCGATCCGAAACGCTCCTTTGTCATATGGAGCAGCGTCCTGAACAGAGACGGGAGTGTGAGCATCTACAGAGCTCCACCTCTACAGCTCTGTGATCTATTTAACGGCAGAGTGCGCATTGAAGGTGATCACAGAGCAGACTGGTGAACTGTGGCAGACGAAAAGGACTTTTAACTGATGCAAGCAGAATCTCACAATGGTGCAAATCAAACATATCCTGAGCCAACGGGAGTCTTTGCTTTCTCCTGTTATCACCATCATCTGCTGTAAATTAAACTGCCACCTACGATCTTATTACCTTTCAAGCAAAAGTGAAAGTCAAAGAGCTTCGGGAACAAACAGAGGGGTAGAACGAGTTCCGCCGTTCAGTACTTACAGGAACGATGAGGCCTTGCCAGTTTAAAAGGTTTGACTCGTCCACTTGAATGTTGCGGAAATACTTCGTTTCAGATTTGCGGATGTCCTCGAGCTCCTGCAACAAAACGTGGGTTATTTGGAGTTCTTGTTCATTCATGGTGACGTGAACCCTGCAGCCTTGCTTGGATCGTTTCACTGAACTGTGCTTTAGAAGACAAAACAAGTCTTCACATGGTTTTTTCTACACCGTTCTTTTAAAGTATATTTTCAGACATCTTGTTGTACGTTTATAAAAGTCTACTCAACAGAAATATCAAACGATTTAAGCCTTTTTCTGCTCCACTACCAGAACTTACATCTTGTTTTATTCACTCCCATCACTCCCATCAAACCTGTACAAACAAAAGTGTTCCTATTTCTACACGAGTCTGTTCTTTATTTGGACAAAAACCACTTTGCAACGCACTTTGGCACGTTAAGGCACATAGTTGAAGTGATAAAACTTGGGCCAGTTTGTCACATATTTAACCTCCTGAGACCTGAGCTCTGGTTTGCGATGCACTTTTCACATCTCCTAGATATTTGTGATTAGATGGACCTGATATATGCATAAATAAAGCTTCCTCTTTGAACAGGAAATTATATTTTATTACATGGTTATGACATATTTTGTAAAAAAAAAAAAAAGTCTTCAGATGGGGACAATGGGCTTATTTTACAGCATAACACAACATGACTTAAAGTATAAAACACTATTGAACAGAGTGAAGTATAAGGTACAGCAAAGACAAACTGTAACGTCCCCATATGTGGACGCAGGGTCTCAGGAGCTTAAATGTGACTTACTGAATTTTAAAGTAAAAACTGAGATCTTAATTTACCTCAGCTTTTATTATGTTGTATTCAAGGGTCAACTTTATCCCACCGACTTGCCATACTTTTCCTGAATCCCTTATTTTAAAGATGTACTTGTGAAATGCTTGGGAAAGTACACCGTTTAAATTTTGTTTTCTGGTGGGCTTGAGTGTATATTATAACTCATACTGACAAATATTGACAATTTACTAAAGCTACTTTTTCTATTATTGTTTTGAAAATCAAAAGTTGTTTTTTTTGCCACTTTTGGCCAAAGCTACAAGGACCCACTGCAGAGGGGCCGATGTGGCCGATGTGGCCCAAGAGCCACGTCCGCTCGGGCTGATCAGCGTCCAGCAGTTTCTTGTTCTTCTCTGCATTCACCTGAAACTGTAAAACCAGATTTCTGGGGAGATTTGTGACGTGGTGACAAACGTTTTCGCAAGGGAATTTCCTGAAGGCAGAAGCTTTGGAATGTTCAGCTGAACAATAAATCAAAACTGGACGTGTGGAGACGAAAGTGAAACTATGAGATGAGAAGACCTTTGACAGGCATCAGGACACTTCAGAAAAACATGAAACTTGGGTCGTGAATACATTAAAAATCCACTGATCTATACAACCGTTTAAAATGTGACCAGCAACTATTTCGTTCTGTGCGACCCTCTGAAATACACGAGTCAAAATCAAGGCCTGGGGGCCGAATGTGGCCCTCATTGACATCTTATCTGGCCCCCCCAAGATGACATTTTAAATGTAAAATACTTATATCACTTTTATTTTTCAGTCATCTTTGATTATGATGTCAAAAGTGCATCAAATTTTTGCTGAGGAACCTGCAACTAAGAAAAGATGTTGGGTCTCCAACTTGAGTTAATGCAGATTCTGAAACTGGCCCCCCGTTTGTAAGAGAGTTTGACACCCCTGCTCCAAAACAACCTTTGTTTAAATTTTCTCCAACAAACGTCCACAACCTAAAACACACGGATCAGACAGAACCTATAAATGTTCAAACATTTTATCATCACTTCATGTTCACACGAGTCCCTGAGGCTCAATGGGAACTAACCAGTATAAATAAAGGTTGAACGAATGACACTAAAAACATTCCTGTCACCTCCCAGTGCTCCTGGTGTTTGCTTTAACAAAACAGAAAGTAAAGAATCGGATTAACCTCTGAATTATTTTAACAATTTGACTGACTGAAAGCAAACAGGTTTAGTTCATTTAGTCCTTCTACTAAAGAAACCCACTGTTCTGATACAGATGAACAAAAAGACTAAACCTAATCCTGTCAGTGAATATTGTTCTAAAAAGCAACTTAAACATTACATAAGTGTGTAACATCACCTGTCTCTATGAAAGAAAGGTAATCATGTAATGTCTGTACTTTTGTGTGCATGTTAGCAAAAGAAGTCATGGATCACAGCGTAGATTTTGATCAAACTCTCAGAAATGAATCACTGGATGCTCATCTACAACGGATTAACTTTTGGAGTCACCTTGATTCAATATGGCCACCAAGGCTAGTCGACTTTAGAGAAAACATTTCTGACAGACATTTTTACAGATAATGAGCTGCACATACTCAGAGTGCCAATCAATCAAGATTATTGTTTAAATGTTCAGCAGACAAGGCGGTGGGTGATAGGCATTCATTCAAAGCCAGTTAGATTTTACATCAACTTCCTTTTACTATGACAATTAAGCCACACATATTTGAGGATTTTAAGTATATAAAGACTTAAAAACTGTCCTAATCAGCTAGTACTTCCTAATATTTGGTATAATATGTAATAACACATACCAAATGTTTATTACATTTACCTGTGTTTATTAAAATAGCTGTCAATGTTCAGACTTTAACCACATATGGCCTCATGGTTTAGTTTCATTTTTGAAGATTTTTGTTTAGTTTTTAATTTGTTCCCTCCACCTTTCAGAATTAAACATGACCCCATGTAAACATGATGAAAGATTATTTTAGTAAACAAATGCTCACATTTTTACAACAAATGGCACGCTTGTTTAAATGCCCGGCTCACTGTTTAATCAGAGTGGTTAGGATTACGGAGGAATTAATCGGTTCCTTGAGTTTGTGTTTGAAAAGCCTGGAGGGGATTGATCAGCTAATCGTGGCAGCTATCGATGATTATTAATTTGCCGGCTCAGCCGAGACGTGACGTCACTGCTCCGCGGCCGGTCTCCATGTTCTCCCCACAGCTGGGCGTCTTCACACGGACACGGCGGCTCCAACAATCCGCCGGCTTCACCGAGCTCACTCTTTCACTACCGGCATGATGTTTTAAAGTACCGAACCACGGAACCCGGGCCTTTCTCTACATCCTCCTCCAACTCATTGCGCCTCGGTCACCGTCAGTCTGGCGTCATTCTCCTTTCATTTTGTCCGAGACATGAGCGACAAACAGCCGGCCGCTTTCTTCGGCTCAGCGGCCGTGCAGCTCAACAAACCGAGTGGAAACAAGTCGCGCACACTCCCTGAAAGTGTTACGGAAAAATTAGTTCTAAATTATTTGTATTTACCTTGCCTAGTCTCCTAGTCGAAGTCATTGTGTTGCCGACTACGTCGTCTTCTTCCTGTTTCTTTCCCTGACTCTGTCCTCGACTACTTCTTTGGAGTTTGTTTTAAAGTGGACCGAGTAGGCAGCGCCCCACTCCGGCAGCACAGCGCCCCCTACCGGCGGGGAAGACCCAGAACCGCACAACGTGAAGGAAAATGAAACAGAAAACATGGATTATCAAACACACTCATGCTATTGAGCGTGTCTTACAAAATATATATCTTAAGCTCTAGAAAATTAATCTTTATTTATATAAAACCGATTAACTTTTGGAGTCAATCTAGGTGGCTGCCACTGCTGACTAAACTAGTGAAACACAAACATGGCAGTAACTCAGTATACAGGTATGACTAAAAAAGTTAAATCTGGTCCTCTGGACATAAAAAAAAAAAAAAAAAAAAAAATTGTAGAAACGTTTCGTCTCTCATCCGAAAGACTTCTTCAGTCTGAGGTGCTGTATTCAGCTCAGTCTTATAAATAGCACCTTCTCAGAGTGGATCAACCAGTTTGCTGCTGACAACCAAAATCAGCTGCTCACATGATCAAGGATGGATCATTAGCACACTGATGGCTGTTTACTATTCACAGGAGGTTGAGTGATACTAGCAATCACAGCATTGTAAGAGGGGGACAGTTGAACCAGGAGGCCTCCACCCCTGTTTAATGATGGACAATTTCTTTTCACAAAGATGGCCTCCTTTACTCCTCTCTCAAACCATCGTTCCTCTCTGTCCAGGATGTGAACATCTTCATCCCTGAAAGAGTGACCGCTGGCCTGGAGATGAGTGTAGACCTCAGAATCCTGGCCTGATGATGTTGATCTTCTATCCTGGTCCATCCTTTTGGCCAGCGGTTGTTTAGTTTCCCCGATGTAAGACTGATCACCCTCCTGACACTGAACAGCATACACAACATTGCTCTGTTTGTGCCGGGGGACTGGATCTTTGGGATGAACCAGTCTTTGCCGTAATGTATTTTGGGGTTTAAAAGCCACTGGGACGTTGTGTTTAGAAAATAAACATCTCAGTTTCTCTGATACTCCCTCAACATACGGAATGACCACTGGTCTGGCTCTGGGTTCCTCCTTTTCACCTGAAAAGAGCCTGGCTCTGCTGGAGGTTTCTTCCTTTTAAAAGGGAGTTTTTTCTTTCCACTGTTGCTATTGTGCTTTCTCAGGATGTTAGATTGCGATGAAGTGAAGATTCAATATGTCTGCTGCTTCCTTAGATAGAGAACTTTACTAATTGGCTTTTCTATGTACAGTACGTGAATGTTCCTGTAAAGTGCCCTGAGACAACGTTGTTGTGATTTGGTGCTATATAAATTGAACTGAATTGAACATATTTGCTTTCATGTTTCAATTGATCATATCAAATGTTTAAAATCCATCCATTCATTATATTTTACCCGCTTCTTCCATTTTGGGTCACGGGGGTTGCCGGTGCTCATGTCCAGCAATCACTGTGCGAGGGGCGGGGTACACCCTGGACGGGTCGCAAGTATGTTTAAAATCCCCTATAGAAACTAAGGTGGAGAGCTTCAGTTCTTGTTGCAAAATGTTCCAGAATACAGGAACAGAGTAAGAAAAGGCCTTTTTTGCCAAGTTCACTCTGCATTTCTGTATATCTACTAATTAACTTTTACAAATGATTCCATTCAAGATGGCCACCACAGTTAATCAAAAGTGGTAGTAGCTGAGATCCTCAGCACATGCTCTGAGCGATTATTACCATCAAGCTGCAGACCGGACCTGCTAACAAGACCTGCCAAGCTGCTATCAAGACCACGCCACTAACAGAACAGTAAAAAAACAAAAACAAAACAGCTGCCAGGAAAAAGACAAAGATGGAGGTGAAAAAAAAATAGATATAGGGATGTAGTTAGAGAGGACATGGAGGTAGTTAGAGTGAGGACAGAGGATGCAGCTGACAGAGATGGAGGACGACGACTCACTGTGGAGACCCCTGAAGACGGAAAAGCCGAAAGAAAAAGGATTGTTTTTTTTTTTTGGCTATTATTTAATTCTAATCTGAGTAATATAACTTTTTTTTTTTCACGGGAGAAATGCTAAAATTTACATGTCTGAATGGAATTGAGATAGATGTGCTTTTATTATGTGCTTCAACGGCTTACCATAAATCGCTTCGCCTGATTACTTCAAGTTCAGCTCGGTCTTTTCAAGTTTATAAAGTTGCCTCCCTTCTTACTCGAATACTTCGTCATAGAAATGAATGGTTGAAACCTGGGATGCTCCAGAGCAGGTTTTGCATCTTTCGTGTCTTATTTTGGGCTTTTTGTTTAGTTTATATTTGACCAATTTTTACTTTTACTATCACATATAATTTCTAACGTATTGCCTATTATTATTGTTCTGTGTTTGGGTAAAATAAACATGCTTGCCTTACAGAAATACAACACCAGCACACAGATATTTCTCCAGGAGTTTAGTCCTCGGAATAACTTGGTTTCAGAGCGGCTTCCAGCCTGAAGCAGGAGCGACGGATCCTGTGACCTGACCGCCAACGCTCTCTCCAAGATGGCCGCCTGAGTGAAGAATTTACACTTCTCAAGTGAAACTAATCCAGCAGCTAGCTGCCCGAACAACTTCTGCTGAGTGCGTGGAGGATGATACGACGACACGGGCGACGTTTGCGCCTGTTTTGAACCGGAACATGGACTAAATCCGTTCAGGTAGGGAAAATTACCCACAAACCAGGTTTTTCTACGGGGGGAGTTAGCAACATTAGCCTGCTAGCACTAAGCACGCTAACTTTAGCTACAGCTTCTTTAACTTAACAAGGAGATGTGCGTTTAAACTAGTTGTCTGCAGAGGGTCGTACAGTTTTTACACCCATGAAGTGGTTGATATTGTGGTGAAATGACGCTAATTGTACCTGTAGGTTTAAACATGAGTTGTTCACTTGTTTGGTGATTGAAAATAAATCTGCTCGTCTTTGTCGCGCCCCCAAATTAAGCGTAATTATTTTTTTCCTACGAAGAAACAAGAAAAAGAGGAATGAAACTAGGATATAGCAGGTGTTAAATAATGTCTGTGAGTAGTCAGATTATGTGACATCACTTGCAAACCTTTAACGTGTGTGTACTGGTTATTTTCCATCGTAACGGTTGCTCTGAAGTGCAACACACAGCTGGAGGAGGATGTAAACAATAATGCAACATTTCACAAAGCACAACACGAAGCGCCATGTTTGATGAGAGTGCATTTCAAACAACACAATCCAAATGCATAAAGCTTTTTAAAACGTTTCACATAGCTTGTCACAATACTACAAAACCAGAAACACATCTTTAGGGTGCTAGTTAAATCTTTTTCTTTATCGTTTAATACCCCACCTCCTACTTTAATGCATTTAATTTATATTAAGTCATTAATCTCAGTGTGTATGAATATGCTTCTTATTGACCACTGACATAAATATGCTATTCCAAGAATAAGTAGATATTCAAAACTGATTGACCAAACTGCAAAAAGTACCAGTCAGTAAAATAACAGTAAACTTTACTGTACCTGGAATCTGACTTCTAAAATCTACTTTATCACCTGTTTTAAAGGTAATGTTTGGCCAGTTTGAAGCGAGTTGCTGTGTAAACATAATAAATATCCTACCTGTTTTAGATAGCTTTTTGAATGATCTATTTGCATCTAACAGAACCGATTTGGTCCCACCAGCAGATTGCTCTTATCCTAAAACTACTCCAGTTTTTTAAATGTCACATTGGTTCATGCATATGCTATTTCATGAAACTTTGTCTCTCAGTGCACGGTGGCTCAGTTGGTAGAGTTGTTGCCTCTCAGTGAGAAGGTTGCTGGATCGAATCCCAGCTGGGGGGCCTTTCTGGGTGGAGTTTGCATGTTCTCTCCGTGCATGTGTGGGTTTTCTCCGGGTGCTCGGGTTTCCTCCCACAGATATAACATGCATGTAAACTAAATTGTCTCTAGGTGTGAGTGAGAGAGTGAATGGTTGTTTGTCTCTACGTGTCCCTGTGATGAACTTGAGACCTGTCCAGGTTGTGCCCCCCCCACACACCCACCTCTCGCACTGTGATGGCTAAATATCAGCACCAGTGACCCTTGCAAACCGAAAAGTGAGAAGTGGGTAAAGATAATGGATGGATTGTTTCTGCTGAAATAAACATGTAACACAATCAGCAGTAAAAGTTTAAATATTAGCGTTCACATGATCTGTAATGAAATTTTGAAGCTCAGTCATTCTAAGATGGCAGCAATTCACTATGATCCTGTTGGAGGTGAACTCTTTCTCTGGACTCAAGCTGTTCATGGGAGTTATCTGCAACAGGTTTTGTGTTTATGATCTATAACATTACACAGAAACCCTCTTCAGACTGCTTAGATTATTCATTTGAAAGGAAAAGAAGTCCATGTTGTTGTGGTTAACTGTGGATTTCCTCTTTCGCAGAAATGTTAACTCTTTATTGTAACTAGTTACCAAACCTTTTGTTAGTCAAAGATTTTTAGAATCTTCAGCTGCAGCAAATTGTAATCTAAATAAAAGTCGAGTTTATTCAGACAGATTCAGTCTTTAACCCATACATCACTTTATTTTAACTGTGGCCTTTCTATTACCAAATACTTCCTGTGTTTTAAATGTTTTTCACAGAACTGATCTTTCCTTCTTAAAAACCTGTTTAGTCAGAATCCTGTCGTTTACTTGTGCTATTTATAGAAAGTGTTTAAGCGTTTCCTTCAGTTGTCTAGTTATTTTTGGCCACTTTTAAAGTCGTGCTTCATCAGCATTTGTTGGTTTTATTCTCAGTAAAGAACCTCCTTCCTCATATGTGGACTTTGTTTAGAGGTTGTTTTAGCAAATTGTTAACATTTCTCTGAGTCTTTGTCTTCTAACGTGTGCGGCCAACAATAAAAACCTTCTTCCTTATTGTAAGTTGCTTTTTACTTCTTAATGTCTCTGATGGGAAGCTGTAGGCATCATGACATTACAGGTCTGAATTTTGTGCAAACCGAGCCAAGAAAGTTCTGATGTTGCCCTTGACAAGAACCTGTT